ATATATATATATATATATATATATATAATTTTTGTGCTTTTGTTTGTAACTGGAGCCTGAAGAATAAAGAGATAGGAAGATGATATTTATTCATATGAAATAATGAAAATATGACTTTTTTTGGTCGAATCCATTCCTTTAAGAAAATAAACTGTTAAGACCAAAAAAAACTATATATATTTATATTCGGCTTCTAAATAATGTGCAAAAATATACATCGTCTAATTTTTTTTTAATCGATGATATATTCTTTAAATAACTGCAAATATTTTCAGATATATTTTATTTCTTCTTTTATACATATAAAATAATTTAGTGATATAGACTAATGAATTTGAAATAGATTTGCACCAAACACGATAAGTGAAATCTCGAATACTTTTTAATAAATATTAACAAAAGAAATCATACAAAATATTTTAAATTTTCTCGAAACACTACGTTTTTTGTAGTGCACTACGAACCTATATTTAAAACAGTGGTCTATGTGCTATAAATATCATAAATATTTTGGTGGACCAATGGTTAAGAGATGACAAAGTTATTTCGAGATCTTGGGTTTGATTTCATTAGTGGGGAAGAGGGAGCAGAACTAATTACGTGATCAAAGACTAATTCCAAACGAAGGGGATTAAGGGTTCAACTGGTTGTACCGCAGCAGTTTCAGTTGCGGGTGATGGCGTTTTCAGTACGTTTGATAGCGATTATGAATGATAATTACTGACTAGTTGATAAGTTGCTATTGGCAGCAATTGCGGGTGAGTGCGGTTAGAAGTGAATGGTTCGTTGCAGTTGCGGTTGCGTTTTAATATAAATTATAAAAAAATATTATTTTAAAATAATTTTTTATAATAATTTTAATTAAAATTTTAGTATCATTTGATAAAAATTATTTACTAAATTTATAATAATTAAATAATAAATTTAAAATATAAATATTATCAATTTAATTTATTTTTAAGTAAAAAATAAAAATTATTCAAAATAATCATTATTAAATCTAAAAAGTATACTATTATATTTTTTTATTAAAATATAATACTAAAAAATAATATCAAATCATAACACTAAACAAAATCATCATAAATATATATATATTAGAGTTTTATATAATTTTTAATAAAGATATTTTAGTTTTTTTTGTTAAAACGCCAGAAACCGCTACCAAAACGCAAGTTAGAAGCTACAATTAGAAAACATAAGTTTGGTTGCGATTGCGGGTGGTTGCGGTTCAACCAGTCAGTTTTTCAATTGCTTGCAACCGTCAAAAATCGCAACCCTTCTATTTGCGGGTAGCGGCGGTGCAACCGGTCGCCCCCTAAGTGGACCAAAAACTTAGTGAACATTATATAAAAAAAATCAATAGATAATTTCGTAATTTTGATAAATTATAAGTGAATTTTTATAATATTTCGAAAATCCGTCTTTTTCAAATAAAGAATTAATTTTTTTATATTTGAATTCACGTGTATTGTGTATAGATGATCTAAATCCGAAGTACGTAATTCGAATATGAGTGATCCTTATAGGATTTTCATTCCATATGTCTATTTCACAACAAAGATTAGGGAAAATTATATATAAGTATCCAAATAAAAATTTAAACTTCTAATTTTATATAATTGGTATGATAACATTAAAATATTCTAAATTAATATCCTAAATATTAAATTATTTTAAATTAATATTTCATGTCACAAAATCCTACGATAGGATTTGGAGTATCTTGGACAGTTTAAATTTAGAAAATTGAAGGATTTCCCCTAAAGCTTATACGAAAATAGTTGAATATGTGGGGGATGCCGCCCAAACGACTACATAATGGGCCTTATTTGGGCCCATTATTGGGCCTTCGATCCAAATCTTTTCACACTTTTTTTAATTAAAAAAATCCCAAATAAGGCTTTTGTTTGGTTTTCCATGTTTGCAATTGGTCGTATTTTTTGCTCTGCTCAGAGACTCTTGCAGACGGAGACTCTAAAGCGACCAGAGGGTTTGAGGGGCATTTTGGTAAATAACTATAAATTGTCGGTGGAGAATTACTCTATAAATGGTAAAGATTGTATGTAATTCTACAAGTTTAATGAAAACCATTGACTTTTTCTCGACACTTTCTTCTATTTTCTCGGGATCCAAACACCTTAATGTGCATATTATCCCTTCTTCCACAGAATATTATTACACTGATAATGGAAAAACATACAACATGATGATTTTTTTTTTGCATCTCTATTTATGCCATCAGATTTTTTTTTATCACGTCGTGTTAGCAAATTTATTTACGTGCTTTTATACATGAATGAATTTATATTAGTTAGATATTAGCAAAATATTAATAAAATAATTAACATTTCAGAAAATAAATCAATAAAGGAATGGCTGATCGGTTGCAACGCCTAAAGATTCTCCTCCTCGGCCTCTAACTGCTTTAGCCTCTCCACGACAGTGTCCGAAGCATTTGTCACGATTTCAGACAAGTTCCTGAATATATATATAATTGTGAAACACAAACTTTATAAATCGATATTACGAATTTTAAAAACTTTTAGAATGTTCAAAAGCATATATAAATATATATATATATATATATATTGTTCATTACCCCTTGTAAGAATCGAAGGTGAGTCCAACGATATGTTTCGCCTCTTGAAGAGCCTGCCTAAATCGTCGGATTTCGCCCTCCGTACATCTCGATTCATCGATCATAACGTCGAGTTGAGAAGGTTTGATGTCGCAGAAGAGGGGTATAATCTTCTTTCTGGACTCCATCATCAGAGCAAGTTCGTGGAGGCAGAAATAAGAATTACAGTAATTGGGCGAGAAAACGGTGACAGCGAGCTTGGAAGTGAGAACCGCTCGATCGATGTGATCGAAGAGCTTGTCGCCTGGCTTCATGTTCTTGTTGTCCAAGAAGGGTTTCAGGTTTCTCCCCTTGAGGTCGTCGTAGAGCAGACTGGCAATGTTTCGCTTCGTGTCGGTCCCTCTATGGTTGATGAAAACATCGTACACGTTCTTGGATTTTGTCTCCTGCATGGGGAGATGGAGCATGATTTTACCGTTTCCCTGCATGGTTTTTGATCCTTTGACGAAATCGAAAACCCTAGATATCATTTTTTTTTTTCGTTCCTGTATGTCCTTTGTTGTATATATGGAATATATAAGTGTATATATATGAGCTTGGGGTGTGTGTGTGTTTTTTTTTTGATGTAACACGTCTGTTGTTGTGTTTGTACGTTTGTGCATTTGTTCATATATATATATATATACATGTATATATACATGCATGTGGTTACATATAGGGTTTGAAAATTTGTCGTGGGTTACTGGGTTGAATCGAAGAAGAAGAATATGACATGATTTTGAACGAGAAGCATATTTGCTTATACTTTGTACGCGTCAAGAATTGAAGATATATATTTTTTATTCAAATGTTCAATATTAGAAAACTAGGGCTATATAATCTCGAAACAAGAGGGTGGATGTTGAGCCGACAAAAGGGAACAGACAAAACAAAACCGGTCTCCATAACGTCAAAGACATGTTCCTTAGACTGTTTTTTTTTTATAAAAAAATTAATTATGTATTATAGTGGGATCAATTACTGTAATTATGCGCACCATATCAACTCTTAAATACATTATTTTAGTTCGTTGATTTCACCATTTTATTTTCGTCCTACATATGATATGACTGCATTTACATCGAACTAATTCCTGGTTTTTTTCAGGTTTGGCCGAAAAAGTTACCGGAAGTTTCTGTTACGGAGGAGAGAGAATGTAGAGAGGGAAACGAAGATGAAAACAGAGTGGGAAAATTTTCGATAACTCTCATTAATGCTTTGTACATCATTAAATACAACTTTCAGCTCAATAATCGTTGTAACTAACTCTAACAAAGTCGTTATAATACGTAATATACCCCCCTCAAACTTGAATCGACCTAATTATCAGGGAGATACAAGCTTGAAACATGAAATTTTGACATCAGATCCGAAAACACATTCGGTTGAAGTGTCTTGGTCATGATGTCAGCGAGCTAATTTTCTGTCTTAACATGCATCATCCGAAGAAACCGCAACTTATCTCGAACTAAATGACAATCGATATCAATATGCTTTGTTCTCTCGTAGAACACGGGATTAGAAGCTATATGTATTGCCGACTTGTTATCACAGAATAGATTCGCAGGACCATCCATCTTAAGTTTCAGATCAAGAATCAAATTCTGTAACCAGATGAGCTCACAGGTAGCGTTAGCAAGTGATCTGTATTCTGCTTCCGTGCTACTTCGTGACACAGTCGTCTGCTTCTTCGACTTCCAGGATATTAGAGATTCTCCAAGAAAAATGCAAAATCCAGACTCTGATCTCCTCGAATGTGGGCAAGTTGCCCAATCTGAATCCGCAAAAGCATTAAACCGCATTGTCGACGAAGCAGAGTAGAACAATCCTTGACCTGGGTTTGTCTTCAGATATCGAACAACTCTTTGAGCTGCTCGCATATGAACATCAGTGGGGGCAGAGAGAAATTGGCTCAGCTTGTGAACTGCAAAAGTGATATCTGGTCTAGTGATTGTGAGATATAATAATCTCCCAACTAACCGTCGATAACTTGTAATATCATCAAGATTTGTACCAGAATCCTTTGTCAAATGGTTATTGGCATCCAAGGGGGTCGAGACCGGCTTACATCCCAATAACCCTGCGTCAGAGATTAAGACAGACAATATTTTCGCTGACATATCGAAATTCCTGTCTTTTGTCTTGCAATTTCCAGACCCAGAAAAAACTTCAAAGCTCCTAAATCCTTGATTTTAAATTTCTGATGCAGAAGATCTTTCACTGCGGATACTGCATTCTCATCATTACTAGCTATGACAATATCATCAACATAAACCAGTAATGCTAAGAATGTTGAACCTGACCTTTTAACAAACAGAGTATGATCAACTTTCGATTGCTGAAAGCCATCAGCAACAAGAACACCAGCAAACTTCATGTACCACTGTCGTGAAGCCTGGCGCAATCCATATAATGATTTCTGTAGTTTGCAAACTGCATTCTCAGGTAATGAATCAGCTGTATAACCTGGTGGTAAAGACATATAAATCTCTTCTTCAAGATCTCCATGAAGAAAAGCATTTGTTACATCCATTTGATGCAACGACCAATTCTGATTAGCTGCAAGAGCAAGTAGCAATTTTACTGTCACTAGTTTTGCTACAGGTGAAAACGTGTCTATGAAATCAACACCCTCCTGTTGTGTGAATCCCTTTGCTACTAACCGAGCTTTATATCTCTCAACCGATCCATCTGGCTTTCTCTTGATTTTGTAGACCCACTTACAACCCACAGCTCTTTTATCAGGTGGAAGAGAGACTACAGACCATGTTCCATTCCCAGTTAAAGCATCGAGTTCAGTATCCATGGCTTTCCTCCATTCAATCGAGGATACAGCTTCTTTGAAGTTCTTTGGTTCACTTTCTGTGGTGATATTCATGATATAGTCTCTGTAATGAGGGTGTAGTTTGAAATAGGATACGTATGAAGAAATAGGATATAGAATGGATTTATCACTAGTATCTGACTGAGGTAAAGTCAAATAACAGTGATAATCATTCAAATATGTGGGTGGTCTGATTTGTCTATGTGGTCTTGGATTTTGTGGGTGTGAGGTTTCTGAAATTGAAGAGGATTCTGAAACAGAAACCGATTCTGTATCAGGTAAAGAATGAGTAATTGGAGGATGGATTTGGTTGGGTATATCTGGTAATGGGAGTGGTAATATGGTATTTGGAAAAGGCTTGAACTATCAGAGTGAGCTTTATTATAAAACTCTTCTGATGCAAAGGGAAATATATGTTCATGGAATTGAACATTTCGAGAAACATAAACAGAATGAGTTTCAATGTCAAGAAGCTTGTACCCTTTATATCTAGGAGAATAACCGATGAATACTGAAGCTCTAGCTTGCTCTGAAAATTTGTGGCGATCTGTAGCAAATGTGGATGCATAACAAAGGCATCCAAAAGTCCTTAGATGTGTGTAGTCTGGCTTCTTTTGCTGCAAAACTTCAAACGGTGATCTGTTCTGCAACAATGGTGAAACTGTTCTGTTAATCAGGTATATAGTTGTTCGAATACACTCATGTCAGTAATCCAAAGGAATCTGAGACTGAAAAAACAGTGCTCGGGCCACATTCAATATGTGCTGATGCTTGCGTTCTACTATAGAATTCTGTTGCGGTGTTTGGACACATGAAAACTGATGAACAATCCCTTGTTTGCTGAAAAAATCACTGAACATAAGCTCCGGTGCATTATCAGAACGGAAAGCTTTGATTCTTTTATTATACCGCTTTTCAATAAGTGCAACAAACTCAGGCACAATCTGTATTACATCGCTTTTCTGTTTCAACATATAGATCCAAGTGACTCTATAGTGATCATCAACTAAAGTAAGAAAATACCTATGACCTTCAGTAGAAACAATAGAAAAAGGGCCCCATATATCCATATGTATAAGGTCAAAGGGTTGATCAGACATATTATTGTGGGATACAAAAGGTAATCGTTTTTGTTTGGATAGATGAGAGATTTTACAATGAGGAATGGGTGTTGGTTTGGGTATTGATAGAGTGTCGGATAGAATTTGTATTTTCTGGTTCGAAGGGTGTCCAAGTCTGGCGTGCCACAAGAGAGTTTCAACACCAACAGTATTGCACGAAAATGAAGGATGGGTAGGGGGCTGTGATGACTGAAAGAAGTATAAGCCTTGATGAAGCTTACCCCTCCCAATCATCCAAGCCAGAGAAGGCTCCTGTATAGAACAAGAGTCAGCTGAAAAAGAAATTTGGAAAGGATAACAGTGTAAAAGAGCACTAACACTAAGGATATTGAGGTGGAATGAAGGTGCATAGAGTACATTTTCTAACAAAAGTTGATGATCTAGAGTGATAGAGCCAGCTTGATTTATATGTAGAACATTTCCATTCGGCAAATTCACAATCACAGGTGAGATGTCTATCAACGATGAGAACATCGATCGTTGATGACATATATGACTCGTGGCCCCCGAGTCAATTATCCAAGCATTGTCAAATGTATTCATATCCGTGATAGCATAACAAAAGGCAGATGAGGCATATTGAACATTACCAGAATTCCAATTTGCAGTCTCTGGTGCTCCATGATCAGTGATTGTTGGTTTGGAATTTCCCAGCTGAGTAAGAAATGTAAATCTAAAAATTGGGGATATTAGAATATACAGCAAAAATGTGATTGTTGTAGTCGTTCCGTAGGAAAATAAAATGTACTCTAATTGGACCGATGCAAGGGAATTTAAAAAGGATTAAATAAATATCCTGTAATATATAATAAGAAAGGACTCGCTGGTTGAATACATAACAAACTACACAGTTGATGCACAAAGAATTATTTATGCGACTATGCATATCACTACCCAATCTTAGCAAATATTTACTCTAACACAAATTGAACGTATCATTGCAAACGAATTTGATCGAAACCATCTGGATAAAACAAAGTATAGCATTTTCCAAAACCGCATATACATTTTTTTATTCATTAATATGTATATTTGACACAAGGGCATTCTGGAACCTAATTAATCCCTAAGTAATACCCAAACCAACACCCATTCCAATTTGCAGTCTCTGGTGCTCCATAATCAGTAGTTGAATCTGATCAGAACTCAAATCAGAAACATCAGGATTTGCCTTTGATGCACTTTGATCTGATATCACATTCGCAACAGTAGTCTTATTCTGAAAAGCAGGTCTGTAATTCTGAAACTGAGACTTCTGAGTAGCCTGTATCATGCGTTGGTCAGACGCTTGATTGGAAGAATTCGGTTGGCGATATCCAGGTGGATATCCATGTAACTTGTAACATTTGTGGATGGTATGCCCATACAGCCCACAGTGTGTACATAAAGGTCGTTGTTTGTTCTTGAACTGAGGTCCAGATACAGCTGCAACTACCGGATTATGCTCCTGAGGTGTTGTTACAGCATTGAATACAACAGAATCTTGTGGAATTGGCGTCTTTAACTTCTTTTGTTGCTCATATTGAGATATGAGAGTGTTATGTCCTCTCCAAATCAGGTATAGGTTCTAACATAAGAATCTGATCATGGATTGTCTCAAAAGAATCATTCAATCCATACAGAAAATCAATAACAAAGTGATTTTCGAAGAATTCAAACCAGCGGTGATCAGCAGCGCATGAACATGTTCCACATGTACATCGCGGGGTAGACTGTAAAGCTTTGAGTTCTTAAATTGTGATCAGATTTGTATAGTATGCAGAGACATCAAGCGAACCTTGCCTGAGAGATCGCAATTTGCGACGAATCGAATAAAGTTTCGGAGCATTTTTTTGATGAAATCTTGTTGCCAGATTTAGCCAGATATCTCGTGCTGATTTGGAGTACATCAGACTGGTAGCAATGTGCTTTGTGACCGAATTGAGCAGCCATGACTTTACCACCGCATTGTTGCGAAGCCAGTGACGCAAGTTATGATCATCTTCAGCCGGTTTCGGTAAGAAACCATCAACAAATCCCAATTTGTTCCTACCTTCCAGAACCAATGAACCTGAACAGAGCCACGAATTGTAGTCTTCTGCTCCATTCAAGCGATCCGAAACAAGAACCAAGCTCATATTATCCCCTGAACTGAGATAATATGGAGAATTCGGAGAGAGAACTTCATCTACTTCCGCCATTGATGACGCTCAAATGATCGGAAGGAAAGACACAATTTGAATTCGAGAGAAGATCGAAAACAAATTGGAAAAGATGAACAAACAACGAAGGAAATCAAAGAGAAAATAGCTCTGATACCATTTCAGGTTTGGCCGGAAAAGTCGCCGGAAGTTTCTGTTACGGAGGAGAGAGAATGTAGAGAGGGAAACGAAGATGAAAACAGAGTGGGAAAATTTTCGATAACTCTCATTAATGCTCTGTACATCATTAAATACAACTTTCAGCTCAATAACCGTTGTAACTAACTCTAACAAAGTCGTTATAATACGTAATAGTTTTGACACTAATTTCATTATATATATATATATATATATATATATATTTGTAATTACATGCTATACGCGTAATTAGATATTTCGTTACTTTAGTTATATATTTGTAATCACCATTTTTTTTCGTCCTATATATATATGATATGACATGACATGACTGCATTTACATCGAACTAATTCATGAAGCTAAATGTCAATACGCCATATACGTATTAACTAGCAATTATAGATAGTTTTATTTATTAGTATGTTTTACATTTGGTTTAGATTTATTATTGTATTGAAAAAATATTTTATTTGTTTATTTAATGTTTTTTAAACAATAGTAAAAATGATTATCATTTATTTTGTTGAATTTTAAAATTTTTAACTTATGTGAATAATGGTAATTGAAAATCAGAGTGATAATGATGAATACAACCAACCACGATATATCGAACTTATTGGTGCAATCGGTTTGAACCCTACATATATATATTTTGTAGAAATCCAATTTTTGCAAATAAATAACTGTTTTTAAACTTTAAAATTTTACAAAAAAAATACAAATTTTGCTTTAGATGTACGACATAATCATGAGGAGGTGGGTCCAATGTTTTGTAATGGTCCTCCTTGGACACAAAAATGGTAAAAAAAAAAAAAAGAAAAGAAGTTAAAAAGAACATGAAGGCTGATTTTAATGGACTTTGGAGGAAAATGTCCGACCATTGCCCGTCAAACAAGTCATTTTTCAGTCAGATATTTTTCTCCACACGCTACAAATGCCCATTCTTTTGTCTTTTTCATTAAAAATAAATTATACATAATTTATTTATTCTTTCAAGCTGTTCATTTTAACTTATATTTTCACTATTTTGAAATTTTATTTAAATTATGATGTATATATTGGAATTCTATTTTTTAGTTAACAAATTTAATATATTACTTCACAAATTATATAATAAAAAAATCTTCCTTACCAATTTATCTGAAAATTTATTTCGTTTTTGAACTTCTATTATATTTATATTCCAACGAACATAATTGTCAGCAAAAAAAATAAGATAGTGACTATAACGACGATGATGGTGAATATAACGAATCAAAATAGTATATGGAAACTATGTTTTATTTTTTTGAAGAAAAAAATAAAAATTAAACTATTAAACTATATACCAAATTCTACTTAAAATTCTCAAATTTCAATTGTTCAACACAAATTTCAAAATTTTTTATTAAAAGCTAATGAAAATTCATCGTACTAGTAGAACGAGGCACTTTGAAACTAAAATTTTACTGTTCAAATTTAGATTATAGTTATTATGATATTGTTAATAATATTCAATTTCTCTCAACTCAAAATTTGTATCAATTTTTTTTGCCATAGGAAACCAAACCGCCATTATAAAGATCACAACCGTATGCGTCAAAGCAACAGTTACACACGTTAAGGTTTATGAGTAAGTGTCTTGGCATTAATTTCTTAGATAATTTTAATCTTTATTAATAAGTTTTGGATTTCATTTTGGTATAAATCAGAATAATTTGGAGATATTCTGCAAGTTTTTCAAAATTAATAATTATTGAGAACACCATGATAGAAACAAGTAATTTTGACAATTCTAATTGAGATTTTAAAAAATTAATCTCACAATTTTAATTTTGAGAAAAAAAAAAGAAAAAGAAAAATTATTGAAACTAATTGTAAGAAAAATGGTGTTATTATAGTTCGAGGTGGACGTTTCAGGAATCGGTTCAGGTTTGGGTAATTTAGAACGGTTCGAATTGGAAAAAATATAGTATTTTTTGGTTGAGTTCGGTTGTGAAACGTCCACCCCTAATTATAGTTAATATAGCTCCTAATGCAACAAATAAATCTAAACCAAATAAGAAACACACTAATATATGTAAGTTGTCCCTAATTCCAAATATAGTATTCTATCTCATAACTCGTATAGATCTTTTTGCTCTAATCGATTTTGAAGCGCAGATTCGTATGCACCTGCTGTGAATTCTCATTCTTCGGCTTCTTCCTCTTCTTCTCTACCATTCTGTGAACTATCGTTTTCAACTTTTGGATCTTATCAATCTTCTTCACATTCTGATCAGTACTGTCATTAGAATCAACGGGTGATCCATCAGATGAATCGGTTTGATTACTTTGAGCTATTTCCATCAGCGCTTCTGGAGTTGTGTCGGTTGGCATTGTTGTTTTCTCCTCAAGAATCCTCTTTATCTCGGAATCAACCATGTTTTCGGGACATAACTCAACGTTGTTCTTGTCAAACTCGGAGCCAAATCTTTGTCTGAACAAGCTCCTTATTGGCTGGAGCTCTATGAGTTCCCCAATCCTTGATGCGGCTAAGATCAAACCGGCTATTGTTTCTTTCATTTCATCGGGCAAAAGATGAATATCACTGTTGAAGATTAGAGTAATCAGTAACTACTTTAACCACAAGCAAAAACAAAAAAACTTTATTCAAAGCTATAACATCGTATAACAAATGAAAAAATTTACCTTTGCTGTTGTAAATGAGAGAAATTCTGCAAAATATATGTGCAGTAACTTTCGATCCGATCATATGCAGATAATCTACGTTCGTCCACGAGGATTTGCTCGGCCTATAATTTTCAGTTCAAGTTCGAATATAATGAATATATAAACAATGAATGTATAAACCGTGAGTGAATTTATTTAACTTCAAACTTTTGAAATTCGATATATATAATATGCATGTGTGTGTGTGTATATATATACTCTGTGGAGAGCTGCTTTGAGGCGGCCATGGCAGAGAAGCTCGGAGATATCTGCACGAGATTGTCTCACCATGCACTCCCTGCGTCGCCGCTGTACTTTGACATTACTCTGAAGCTTCTTGGTTAGGGTCTTGCTGCAACAAACAAAGCCTAAACACTTGACTCACAGTCATTGCCTTGAGATCCAAGTAAACTAGGTTAGGGTTTTACCCTTTTAGAACATTGATCTCACAAATCTAAGCAAGTTGCAGTCATTGTCAGATAACCAACTCGTACTCATCACTACATGTGAGGATCTTATCCATATGTATGCACATATATATAAACATATATACATATAGATGAAGATTAGGGTTTTTACCACTGAGAAGCTTTTCGCCATTTGGAGGCGTAAAACCAAGCGTGAAATGGGTTTCCGATGCAACCCCTCATTAGGCCTTTTTGCTCCTCCTTTTTTCTTCAGAGGCGTAAAACAAAGCCTAAACACTTGACTCACAGTCATTGCCTTGAGATCCAAGTAAACTAGGTTAGGGTTTTACCCTTTTAGAACATTGATCTCACAAATCTAAGCAAGTTGCAGTCATTGTCAGATAACCAACTCGTACTCATCACTACATGTGAGGATCTTATCCATATGTATGCACATATATATAAACATATATACATATAGATGAAGATTAGGGTTTTTACCACTGAGAAGCTTTTCGCCATTTGGAGGCGTAAAACCAAGCGTGAAATGGGTTTCCGATGCAACCCCTCATTAGGCCTTTTTGCTCCTCCTTTTTTCTTCAGAGGCGTAAAACCAAGCGTGAAATGGGTTTCCAGTAACACTCGAATATATATATATATATATATATATATATATATATATATATTATACGTACACGCGTATATATAAACAAAAATACATTAATTGCATTGGAAAGTGGATATTAAAGAGGAAGAATTCATTAATTGACGTGATTTAATTATGGCAAGAAATTCATGGAAAACGCTGTATCTCACTCTTTCTTCGGATTCGATATCGATTCTGATCCTCTCTAAAAGACTTACAGATTGCAAATAAATATTTGATTTATTAAACTTTGGATATTCTATCTGTCTATATATATTTTATTTCCTTTTTTTAATTTAATTATTTTATTTTAATTCTTTAGTCGGCTATGTAAGCATGCTTATTTGTCAGATTATTCGATTTTATTACCTAATTTATTTATCAAGAGAAATTCTATTTAATCAAATAGCTTATTAGCAAATCTTATGTATCATGTGTCATGTGATGGACAGTTTGGGTTTTTTTTTTTGGGTTCACGCCTTCACGCACGGTACATGTGCTTTGATATGGAAAAAGATAGAGAAAACCGGAAAAACTGGGAAAACCGGCTTGCCGGTTCCCGGTTAAGCATACGTGGATGAAGGAACCGACGGATTCTGCCGTTAAACCTAAGCATTTAATTGACTTTATTTATTTATTTATTTTTATAAATAACCTGGAGTAATTTCTCAAGACGGTGTGACCTTCTAACTAACGCATACGTTCCCAATTTCTTAATTTAATTGCATTTACAGTTTTTTTAGGAATTAATTCAATTATTTATCTATTTTATTCAAATGATAATTCAATTTTATTCATTAAGCCTGGATTACAAGAATATATCAAAAGCATTTTGTTTAATTAAAAAACTGATTAAATAATATTTTAGGTGAAAAAACTGATTTTGTGCGCGCGCGTCTTTCTTTTTAATTCATTCATTTTTTTTTTTTTTTTTTTTTTTCAATCGAAATTAGTTCAGTGTATCTGACATTTTCGTGTATTTAGGAACAAAGAGACAGCTTGCATTTACAAGGGAAGAAGAAGAAGTCACCAGAAGGAGAGAGAGAAACGATTTCCATGGCGTCGAAGCTCGTAATCATCACTGTCTTCGTCGTCGATCTCATAGCGTTCGGGCTGGCCGTTGCCGCCGAGCAGAGAAGAAATGTCGTAAGTTGCCCTTTCTCCCTCTTCCTCTCTCTCGTTGCTCTGTTCTCTCCGAGTTCTTCCGATTTCTTCGCAAAATTCGTTTCGAAATCTCTGTTGGTGCGGGTTTGTGTGTTGGACCATTTCATCAGATCTGCTGATTTAAGGATGCTTGTGAAGTGTAACTGCAGTTTTCTTCTCTGAGTTTGAATGAATCGGAACAAGCCCATTTGCGTAATAGCTTCGTATCGTGACCTAGATTTTGCCTCAGATTTAATCCCTTACTCCAAATTTCCCAAGAACTAAGATGTAGGGACTACACATCTTCGTTGCGCCGTTGATTTCCCAGTCCAAAGACATGTTGAATCTAATCAAATATCGATGTAAAACATCGTATTGTGATCTGATCCGGTGATTGGGGCTGTGTCCCAATTGGGCATAGTATTGATATATTTTGGAGGCAAAGGAAATAGTTTGTCTGATTTGTCTATGGGGTCATCTTTTCAGGGTAAGCCTGTAATGGACAATGAAAAGGAACATCAATTCTGTGTGTATGATTCGGACATAGCTACGAGCTATGGAGCTGGTGCTTTCATGCTCCTCTTGATCAGTCAAGTCCTTGTTATGGCGGCTAGTCGGTGCTTCTGCTGCGGCAAGGCTCTTAACCCCGGCGGCTCGAGGGCTTGTGCTATTCTTCTCTTCCTTGTCTGCTGGTAACCACATTGCCCTTACCATTCTCACGATCTTATCGGACCAGTTCATGTGCACTGGTTCACACTTGTTTGAGAATGTGGGGTTTTGTTCTTGGTCTGATCATATGAAGAATCGGATCCATCTTGAAACTCAAAACTCAAAACCAGGAAAACGCTCTGACTTGGCCGAATTCGTAGTTGTAACCCTTTTCATAGTTCATATCTAAATCTAGGGATCGAACCAATTGTCCATCAGTTCCTTTATAGAGCACAGAGGTAACGTTTTGAAGAACTTTTGGTTCGTTTTAGTCAAAGCATACCGAAGGAGGGCTTGGATCTGTATTAGTATTAGTGGTGTAACCCTAAATCTAGGGACCGAACCAATATTCATCATCACAATCTTTTCTTTTACCCGTCGGTTCGTTTATTATGCAGCACTGAGTTAACATTTTGAAGAACATTTAGCCCTTTTCGACATAGAATACCTGGATTTGTAGTCTATTATACCGATGAATGCGAAGAAAAACCTGTGATTTGATTGGTTTTTGGAGTAATGATCGTATCTTGTGCAGGATATTTTTCCTGACCGCGGAGATATGCTTGCTAGCTGCATCGATCAGGAACGCGTACCACACAAAGTACACGAGAAAGTTCTTCGAGGACGCACCGAGCTGCCAAGTGATCAGGAAAGGAGTTTTTGCGGCAGGGGCGGCCTTCACGCTCTTCACGGCCATCGTCTCACAGTTCTATTACATCTGCTACTCTCGTGCTCGGGATGATTACCAGAAACCACCCTACTGATTTTTTTTTTCAGGCAATGGAAATGGAAACATTATCTCGTTTCAGTTCACTGAATTATAGTATCTGTCTGAATTTTGATGTTTTAGAACATTCTTGAGATTGGGTTTTGCCTTCTTTGTGGTCGTTGTGAAACCTTTTGTCGGTACATTTTGTGTAAATGCGGCAGCATTGAATTTTACTTGGATATTATATTACGTGTGATAATATAATTCGTACCCTCTAATTAAAGGATGAGTCGATCAATAAAGCAAGAAGAAATTGGATCTAATTTGCATGCAAAGGCCATGAATTAATGTGGTTAAAAATTACAAAATTGATTTTTAAACCTTCTTTTTTGGCTTTATGCCATGATATGTGTACTATTAATCCTGTCATGCAAATAAAAAAATACAAAAAAATATTTGGATTTTTTTTTTGTTTGTATGGGAGAATATATCCTGAACAAAGTTGAAATTTATTTGAAATGTAGGAAACAAAAGATGAAATTTAAATGGACCGACGCATTATTTCATGGGCCGACGCATGTTTTGCGAATTGTTCCCATTGAGCCTCTATTAACAACCTTTTTTTCCCTACTTAAAAATTGATTTTCTTCTCAACCAAAATTGTTCCTTTTTTTTAATCTAATATATAATACTTTTATTTTATTGAGTTGGATTTTCTAACTCACAATTTGTTTTTGTTCAATTATAATGTCATTAGTTCATTCATCGTTAAAAGAAAAAAGATGATGAATGTGTTAATATCTTTTGCGCAAACAGAAGATCCGGACAAGAAAATTGTCCTTACTTCTGCACAAACAAAAAATACCAAAAAAATATCTGAATTCTTCTATTTTTTTAAAATAAAACCTCAATTTTTTTATTTAATAAAATTTTAATTTTATTTTTCAATCGAGAATAAACTCGAACTTTATAATCATTTTTAAAAAAGAATGTTAGATATGACATATCAATATCATACCCGATAAATTCATGTTTTGATCATATTTGATATGTAATCATCCATATATGACGATATCGGGACGTTACGTTAATGATAAATTTAAAAATATCAAATGTTATTAAGTTTATATTTATTTATAATTCAAAAATTAAGCCAAGATTTTATTTAGCGAAAAAACGAAGTTCAAATTTTATTTTTGTAAAAAATGACTAAGTTTAGATATTTGTTTTTTGGAATTTTACCCAAATAAAGAAAAAAAAAGGCAACAGGAAAAGTTGAATTATTTGTAATTTTAATTTTCAATAAGAAATTCGTTGTAAGGGAAAATTTTAAATAAAAAAACCAATTAAATGGAGCGACTGATTCATGGGTAAATTTTATGGATGGAAGGATTAGATGCACGAAATCATTGGAAAACTAACGACATGCGAATGTGTGTGTGTGTGTTGTAAGGAGTTTGGTAAGAATTGAATTTATAATGAATGAATGAATGAATAAATAAATATATGCCACCTCGACCGACTGCGACCAACGCCTCATTGAAAACGTCCTTCAAACATTTTGTCTTTTCCCTTTTTTACTTTAATTGAATAACTCTTTTCTTTGTTGTTATTTTTAATAAATGCCCTAAAGCCTTCGAAATATAATTAAAAAAAACACTATTTTTTTCTCTTTCAAATATAAAAACTCCTTTTAAAAAAATTAATCTCAATTAAAAACGAGATAATTAAACATGAATAGGACTACGGATAGACGTTTCGGTTCGCTTTCGAGGAATCGAATCGTATCGAATTAAAAATCTCGATATTTTTTTTGAAGCGTATCATTCAAATTTTTGATTTTTTATACAACCAAATTTTCTGAAATCAAATCGAATCGAACCAAATTTTATAAATTTTTTAAAAAACTAATTTTTTTTAAAAAATCTATTTTTTTCTTCATAAAAATCGAAATCGGAACCGAACCAAACCGAATAATATACGGTACTAACTTAGTATAAATTTTAAAATATCGAATAAACCGTTCTCAAATTAAACCGCTAAAATTGTAAGCCGAAACACAGAGTGAAATGTATTTCCAGAGCTGAAAACGTGTAATTAAATGTGAACACTCTTGCAAACCATTTTTTTTAATATTATAAAAAAAATACAAGGAGAAAAAATGTAAAAAAAAAGGGGTGCTCATTAAATTTTATACGAAAATAGAAATATTGCTTTTGCAACCCACAGTTGTATTTCTTTTTATATTTTTTTCCCAAACTTGTTTGTTTTTTTTTGGGGGCCTATATGGGCAATCAAATGTCTATGATGCAGCCCTCGGCTCGTAGACTGACTCTAGAAACATAAATAAACATGTTAATGTCACGTTAAATCAATCATAAAAATTTCTGAAAATTTATCTGCATCTAATAAATATTCACCAAAAAAATATTATTATAATTTTAGAATGGATATATATAATTTCCGTCGTAATTTCTTTTTTCATTTACTTCCGTTTAAAATCTGAGCACACACTCTCTAAAAAAAGTATTTCACATATTTATATACGTAAATATATATATATATATATGCGTACACATATCTATAAGACAAAACAGATAGAAACAAAAGGATCAAACTGAAAGTACTTCAACACGGTTTGAATTGAGATCAACCCATTTAAATAATAATAACTGATAATTCTTTTGCTCCTCTTACACACATTCCATTTAGAGAGGCGAATTTAAACAAATATTAATGGAAACGTAAAAATAGAAATAATCAGTTTGGTTATGTATACATATAATCAATATTAATTTTTTTTTATTAAGTTTATATAATTTATTTTGAAATAATTATCCCAACTCATCTCTAATCAAATATAGTGTCAAACTATTTTATGTGACTAACGGGTGGTAAACAGATTGTCATGCCATTGATCTATGAACACTAACACTTTTATTCCTCTAATCTTACACACTCATATATATATATATATATATATGTGTGTATATATGTATATACACAAACGTAAATATAAATATGTAAATTTGTGTGTACATATAAATAACTGTGTATGTATGTCTATATGCCATATGGAAATGAAGAAATGGTCCCGGAGAGAGAGAGAGAGAGAGAGAGAGAGAGAGAGAGAGAGAGAGATTACCTTTGCATGTGTTTCTCTCTCTCTCTACCTGTCCTTCCCTTCCCTTCCCTTCATCTTCATTCACATTTTGTGGGCCTCCAAGGCCCAAATCTCCATTTTTTTAAATTTCTTCCCAAAATTTAATAATAATAATAATTGCAGAATTTGTTTGCATGTGATTAGAAATGCATGTCCACAGATAATAATCATATACACGTCTAATCATAATATATACATATGGTATGGTCCGTTTGTTTGCGTGCAATTTTTAAGCCACAGACATTTTTCGCTCTTTTTGAGGTGGAATAACTTCTGCATTGGCTAATTTAAGATGCAAAAAAAAATTATATATGGTAAGGACAGTATTGATGGTCGGTCCATTAAAATTCTTATAATTGTATAATAAAAAAACACAATTCCGAATGATTGTTTTGAAAATTATATATATATATATTTTAATTTATTTGGATTTGTTTATAATTGAAATTTAACATTTATGAAATGTAGATTGTTTTGATATAAAATAATTGCAGGGCTCTGATATCCACGAGTTATAAAGTTTTGTGTAAATTTAAATGAATATAATAATACCCGTGAAGGGAACATGCCAAAAATATTATTTTATGTGGAAGGTCGTAGAAAAACTAGTGTTATAAAATTTTAAATTTATCAATTTTATTCTTTTCATATAACGTTTTTTTGGGTCTACAATATTTATTATAATTTCAAAGATCTATTTTCCCCAAGAATCCAACCATTTGGATTTCAGTGGATGCAAGTTCAATGCGGCAACCAAACCAAACAGAGAACCGAAGCTGAAAAAAAAAAAGAAAAAAGAAAAAAAAACAACTCCCTC